ATGAGAGAGAGAGAGAGAGAGAGAGAGAGAATAAAATTGATCTAAACTGCATCTCGTGCACACGAGAAATTTCGCGAGTGGTATTAATCTCTATGCACCTATATTATACAATTGACACACTAGTGATGTTTATCTCAATTATTATAGAAACCTATAATACTGAAATATTATAGTCGGTGTTGCACTCTTCGGTTCGTTAAGTACGGGAATTTATTAAAATATGAAGAAGTCATATTGAATATATTTGTAATTTCGACTCTTTTGTTTTAATAAATACAATCAATTAAATCTTGTGTTATGCGAAATTATTTATTGTTTGAACATATACTTTATGTTTCAATAAAAGTTTACTTCTATTCCAATGTATTTTTTAAACTATTAGTTTTCCCAAAATCTAGGAATATTTTTTTTATGTAAAAATCGGAAATTAAAAATATCTGTCAGCTTCAAAGTTTTGATTAAGAAGTTCATAAGTGATCCGTCTCTGATTCTCTAATATAATATCAAGATCATATCATTTAACACTAGAACTGTGGCTGTGCACTTTTTACCAATCTGATAGTTTTTCTTTTCCAGTTAATTTGGCACATGGATTAGATTTTTGTGATTTTTCATAAATAATCATAATTAATTATAAGTAACTTTACTTTTATGGTAACAACCCTCTTTCGTAAAAAGCTAAATTTACCTCGAATCGCGATTAGATTAATTTACACTCGTTCACGTATTAAAAAAATCTTTATCCAACATAAAAATAATTATTACAAATTATCGAAAGAATATTATAAGATATTTAAAAAAAACGTTTTTCAAATCTTAACTTTAAAGTCGAATATCTTGGAACAGATCTATTACAAAAAAATTTAGAAATTTGTAGGGTCATTTTTCGTTTAATCTGAATGTTTATGAGAAATTGCCCGCCTTTTATATATATATATATAGAAAAGAGAACTGATAAAGAAACTTGTCGCGTTTTGCGACTTTAAAATAAGATATTAACGGAATATTGGCAATTTCTGAGCTATCTATTAATGGATTCCTCTCAGAGAAACGTAACATTAATTCAGCTTTTCAAACCCTTAACTTGAAATATTAATTGCTTCTTTATGTCAATTATTGATGATTGGAATCTTGCCAAAATAATTCATCAAAAACAACGATGGAATTAAACAAAATATACGTAAGACTACGTAACGTAATGTAATATGTGCAGAGATTCTCAAACTTCTTATTCAACAAGTTTCGCAACATGCACAAAACCAAGATATGATGTAAAATATACAGGAAGTTATAGACGACACAAATAATCTTATGTCAGATATAGTTCAATATATAGACTTGTGTATATTTAGACACAAAATCATTCCTTTTTGTTATTCCTTAACGTCTATTAATCTCTCCAATTAATCTTTTTTCGCACCTAATCACATGTTAACACGTTTTGTTACGTTCTGTCTGTTAATATTATTTTCTTTCTTATGGCTTATTCACTTGTGTATTCATCACTACCGAGCCTTCAGATTTTCTTCTTGCATTCATACAGCGCGAGACATACACAAATGTCAAATAATCATCGTTCTCACGGATTGTCGTTACTCACATTCTTCCTTCGTGATGACCATTTTCTCTATGAACATTTGGTTCTATCGATTATTGTTTACACCAAAATCTGTAATTTCCGTCTGGACTTGAACGACCGACTTAACAAGAAAGCGATCGTCCTAGAAAAACACGTTAGAAAAGAATCGAAGAATGACAAGCGAATAGCGAATACGTGCTGATTCTAATGACTTCGTAACAGAGGGAACTGCTCCGTTGGTTTGGAAACCTCGACGACGGTCTTCGGAAACCTGGCACTAGACCAACGAGAGGCTGGCTGGACGTTATATTTAGTAGCGTCCGAGAACGGCAGGTCCGATGGACGGGTAGGGGTGCCGCCAATTCGAAATCGCATTCATGTCGGACTAGTTATTGTATCTTGAACTGCGATGCTTTACGGAACGCTCAACAAGTGAGTGAATATTGTTACATACCTTCCGATTTAAAATATTAAAAAACGTTTGATTTTTTTTTAATGTTCAAAATCTTTCTCAAATAAGTTTCTTTAACGGACAATATCTAACATAATATTTCAATATATATGCATGGATACTTTGAAAAGTTTGTTAAAAACTAAGTAAAACACATTTTTTTTAAATCAGTTTTACTTTTCAACATAATCACACTTTTTAGAAATACACATTTTGTATGTGAATCCATGAACTTTATCCAACTCGATTAAACAAACTTTTAATTTCGCATAATGACAAAAAATAGTTGCTCAAAATATATTTCATAGTCCAAAGTAATTCTGCGATAATTTCTTTTTCTTGTAATGTATACAGACTCCATTTTGTATTAGACCGTGTCGAGCCGGCTGAGGCACAGGAAAAATTTGAAACCCTGCCAGATGAGATTGATTGAATACTTGGCTCTTGAAGTTATTAATTTTTGGTGATACTGCATGTGATATCAAATCAAAATGCAATTGACTATATAGTATTAAATTTAATATCCGTGTTCTGTTTATGCTTCGCAGAAACTACATGTTGAGAAATATCCTTTAGCTGCACAATGCGACAAATACAGATTTCTCAGAATAAGATTGTAGATTCAACCTTTCCTCCCCATGATTCAATTCGATAACTAAGCGCATCAATCCTCAATAACTATTCTGCACAAATAGTTCATTTTGGATTTTCATCCATTTTCTCCTCAGAATTAATTTTCTATTAGTATTTAATATTGCTGATAATAACAAAAAAAAATATATAAATATTATTATTTAAGATTTAATATTTAAGAAACTTACAATTGCCTGTAACTTTATCATAGAGCAATATCCAGTTTGTTTACATTCCGATTAACCACAGACTGTAATGAATGGTTTACTGCGCTAGAATATTGCAGTTCATCGAATCACAAAGTTCGTGGCTTGCACTTTTTGCACTCAATGTTCGCTTTTACTCTCTTCAGCGTTCATGGATATGTTCCAAAATTCATTATCAACGTTAAAAATCTATACGTTACGTGCATAACCTGTATATTTATCTCATTTTAAGTGCAAAAATTTATGGAAATTTCGAGCAATACGAACAAATCTATAGATGCAACCAGTACAACACTCACTCATTGAACGCCTAAATAACAGTCAAATGTGATTGGTTCTTGCTTTTAAATGCAACCTTATATCCAGATGCTTTAATTTATTTAAGCCTCTCATTAACTTCATTGTTAGTGAACGAGTGTTATCAGGACATATGGTAGTCTTAATGGTAAGATACATAAAAAATAAGTTTGTTATTTTTTCTTCGGTATAAAAAAGATATTTATTTCTACAAGAAAAAACTGAGAAAAGTAAGTTTTTCTCATAAAAAAATGAGGAGGAAAAAAGTAAAGAGAGTGAAAAGTAAGAAGTTTCTAAAAAAATGAGAAAAGCAAACCGCTCTCATGCTTGTGATATGAGGTATGTACATACATGTTTTATGTAATGCATTTATTGAATTTAATATAATAAATCTAATCCGCGTGTATTCTGTGTGCTTCGGATATAAATCCCGTATATTTCAAACAGGTAGCTCGAGGTAGGATATATGCAAGACATCAAGCTGAACAAAGCATGGAGTTAAGCGCATACATTTTGCTCCATTCTTTATCATCTCTATACATTTATGTATCACCAAATAATCATTAAACTTTTTGCTTTCCTTATAATAATCATTTTATGTGGGTTATAATACATGGTGCTATTTACGACATTGACGAATCAATTCAATTGACAACAGTTTTATTGATATTAACAGTAAAAAATCATAATACTAATAAATAACATAAAAGTATATGTATTAGACTAGTTATGTGTAAATTACTCCCACTCCTTCTATTCTTCTGCGATGTATCTTCGCCCGGCGTAAATATCGGAGTAACCCTATATTGTACGAATTCTATTTTTATTTATTTGTGATTATATAAAATATTTAAAAAATATTATAATACTTTTTCGAACGTTTAATTTGAAACTAATGTGATAATTAATGGACGATAAGTAAATGACTGTTTAAAATGTAAATGTGTGCTTTCCATATTGAACGAAATTGAATAAAAGAGAAATGTATTAACGCGTTCTCACTAATCAGCTGAAAAACGAGTATTGAAAACGGACAATTCACTCAAATTGTGCATACGTTGTCATTCATCAGCGGAAAATCAAATATTGGAAACGAGCAAGTATTATTCTTCAAAAATACTCACACGCATACTTGTGTATATTAGTCATCCTTCACCATACACTGCGAGTGCTTGAGAGTGCAAGAAATGGGCAAAAAGGGGCTAAAAACGGGCTAAAAACGGGCTAAAAACGGTCCATATAAGGTGTAAAAATGGTTAAAAATTTTTATAAGAAATAAATTGAGCAATTTAGCATTTTTACCGTTGTAAGTCTGCGGCGTTACACTAAGCAAGCATGTCGCCTGTCACGAAACATAAGCTGTGCACTAACCTTACTTCGTATTTATTAAACATGTGAGTTGTTTCTTTGCTAATACTATAAATGCTATTTCTTAAATAATCTTATAGGCACACATAGGGGACTGAGACTTAAACCTGATAACAAAGTTTGCGGGCATTTTTTGTAAATAAAATTTAATCTAACCCGTATCTAACCGCTATCTCAGAGTTTAATGCAATTTTGTAACAATAAGTTGTTTTACATGAGATTTATGGAATTAATTTGATTTAATAGAATATTGATATTACGCTATATATGTACACGGAAAAAATTCTTAAGGAGATCATTTAATATAATTTCGATATTATATGAACCACTCTTGAAGTCAATTTTAGATTATTGAATATTTTAAATGTAAACTGTAATACGTGCTGGAGGTAAACATCTATAACTAATCAATCGATTGTACATTATTATCCTATAAACGCAAAAAAAAATACTTCTGTTTTCTTACCTTTTGGATTCAGTCTTTCAGGGTTAAACCATGCGTCTGTAAATAATACAAATAGAATATTAGTGTCGTATTTCACTCTAACACAGGCCTGTCTAATTTGAGCTACGGAGCTAAAACACAAAGCCATTGACGCAAAAAATCAATACGGGTGAGATTTTTGACTGTAAAAAATACGGGTAAGATTTCATGAACTGTAAAGCGTTGATAAGCGTCGTTCAGACACGTTTTATGCTGTCGCTCGGATAGTTTATGAAACCTTACTATTATATATATATATATATATTGAATTTTTTTGGCGTTTTGGCTCCGAAGCTCAAATTGGACAAGCCTGTTTTAACGTATAAAATGCAAATTGCTACAGATTAAGTTTCAATAGTTGCAAAATCTTAAGTATATAATAGAATTGGAACTTTTTATGATACATAAAGCTTTCTTAATCAAATAAATTTTAAACCAGTTACAATTATTTTATTTTACAATATTAAATACAATATTTTTCAAGACCGTAATAATGTATCAATTTAATTTGTGATATTACTATTCTAGTTCTGTTAGGACTGCGTTTTAAGACTGAAAATTAAATTCGGCGCGCAGTTTGCAGAATTGGATATATTATAGTATATTCATACGAGATTATTTAAGCACTAAAAATCCAACAATTGATCGTTTAGAATCTTTATTTCTGATTTATTTTATTTTATTCTCTTTAAGTAAGCATTTATTTATTAATCAACGCTTACAGAAGGTATTCTTATCAATAATAGTATCATTATTTTTCTTTTACTTCATTTGATGTCAAAAAATTAATTTTAATGAAATTTTTACTAAATTAATATAATCTTAGAACTAATTGGAAAAAAGAGATAAGCATCTGAAGTTTAAAAGAGATTTTAATGAAGTGCAAAAATATGTAAAACAAGAATCATTTACATGCACTTGAAGCTATACAAACATTATAAATCAATTCTGTTAACGCTCTCAGAATAGTATCGTAGATAGAAAATGATACTAATTATAGAAATGCATTCAACACAATGCCAATAAATGCAACGAAAATTGTACTTCTTTCTTCACATTCTAGTATATCTAATATTCAAAAGTGTGCAAATTATTACTTGTAAAAATTGATTATTAATTTCTCTGTGAAAGACGTATCGTTCATTGCAAAAAAAAAAAACAAATAAAATTCATATTATGCGAAATAGCAAATTAAAGAATTAAGAAACGTAAAAGATCGTAATTTATCCCAGACGCGACATGTTCTTCTTTGAGCTTATTTTTCAGGTTACGCTTCTATTAATAACTATGTAATAAATCGATACGGATAAGAGATTGTTACCCTATAGTAAAATAATTACCTCGCTCTAAAGGCTATCAAAACTGTAGAGTGGTTCGAAAAAGAGTAAATTTTATTATTAATTTGTCAAATATTACGCTTGTTAAGTATTTCGTTTAATAATAAAAAATGTGTTTTTGAATAATCTATTGCCATTTATGGAAACTTAGTGCATTATATCAAAAGTCTATAGATTTGCTAATATTGGACATGAGCTACCACGAGTTACTCATTCAACGAGTCATCACAATTCTTTACTTGAAACCATTCTCGTTATTTTACTCCATAGACAAAAGACGAACGAAGTAAGTATACAACACAGAAAAAGATCAAAGGAATCAATACCCTTTCATCGTTTATGTATACGTTTTTCCCACATATTGTACGATTAATATTATGCAGCTTAAAAACACGTGATTTAAATATGAGTTCTTTAAAAGATTCCTTTTGTTATTCATGTCATCTATAAATACTAATAAATTTACAGCAAATTTTACAGTATAGAAAATGTTCGAAAAATATATTTAAAAGTATCGCCGAATATATTATCATAGCCAGTAAAGCAACACAGAAAAAAAGATTTTCTCTGCCGCAGCCAATCTTGGTTTGTTATAATATATTTGCTGTAATTATAAATTAATAAACTACAGCGAAATGGTTTGCTATTGCTGTCATAATATAGAAATCACAGCTAAGACATTAGCTATGAGATACCTATATTTTAGCTGTCCATATTTTACACTTGCCATTTAATTGCCACATGAAGTTTTTATTTGCAACAGCTACTTTCTTTTTTCCGTGAATGTGATATGATATCAAGTAAAAAAAGTTCGTCAATCAAGTAATTTTGCAGCATTAAACCTTAATCAACAGGAGCATTAGAAGAGCTCTATTATTACACCGAATATTAATGTGGTAAGTGGCAGATAGCGAATCGTGCGTTAGATGAAAATGCGTAAAGTGTATAGTGCTCGATAATGAAACGTCAACATGATTTCCTTCAATGTCACATATGTCCAAGACTTTATATATCGCGTGGGAAATAATCTCGAAACTACACGCCAGTAAATTATAAGCACGCGCACAAATCCCGGAGAACCAAGCTTCGGCAATCGATCGTACGTGCACTGCGCAATATGACTCCTGTTGCCTTGAAACCGCAACACATTATAAGTATTTTTACTTTTGACTTTGGAATTAAATGAATCACTTTTTCACGGGTGATAAAAAAATCGACAAAGCTAAGCTTTACAATATAAACTTGGAAACGAAACTATGTAGACGTCGTCTTTGTAATATATTATATCTATTCCAAATGTATTACATATGCATACATCATGGATATGCACAGCATTTACGTATCATTAACCTTGTACAGCGCGTTATCTACCATTTCAGTACAGTACTTATCGCTATTTGCAAAAATATCTTTTGTTTTCTTGTTAATTTTTCCTTAAACGCTCACGATTATGTACAAATTATTTTTTACAAAAATCCTGTCTTAATAAAATAATTATATTAATTAGAAAAAGTATTAAAATACAAAACAAGAGAGTTAAGTTCGATAATATAATAAAGAAGATGAGATTCTTTTTGCAAAAAAAATGATATAATATTTCTTTAAAGAATATATCAAGTTATTAATAAGTATTTTCTTTACGAAGGTACAGAGATAGGATACAAGAATAGACAGACTAACTGAATAAAATTATCATCATCTTCCCGTCATGTTAATCCAATAAAAGTAACGATAATTCAGTTATGCAATTTACTCTTAATAATCAGTTGTCACTGTTATAGTCTAAAGCTGATGGGATGACTTTGGCATAAAGTTCGAAAGTCGATTGTATGCACCACGTCGTCACGATTGGATCTCGTGGCGTTATGTAATTCAAGGTCACGATGATAATTATTTCAAATTGCAAGAAATCATAACGCGTACCGTGCTGCGAAATCAGAATGTCATCCGCTCGTCGGACAAAGGTGGACTATAAAATTACAGTGAATTATATCGATTTCATTAGCACATCGCTATTCAATAAAAACATTACCAAAGTACAAATAATAATTATATAATAATAACAATAATATGAAGTAAATAATGTAAAGTAGTCTCGATATTTTTTAAATAGAAAATTTTTTATACAATATAAAACTTTTGATATTCGTTCGAACCATTAATGATCAATGGTATCAATAATAGTGGTGTAAATGCGACATGTCATATTTAAAAGTCTTACAAATTTATAATTTATTAAAACTTAATACATTTATTTCGGAAGAAAAGATTCAATTAAGTCATTGATCTAAGCTCCAGATGATGCATTTTCCTATTTTAAATAATTACAACTCAAGTCCTGATTAAAATGTTTCGACAGTGAGTGGTCTTTAAGGATAACAAAAGTTGTTTCTACCGAATTCTAATCAGTGATAAGATAGGATGTGTAGGAAAAAAATAAAAGTTGAAGTTAAAGATAAGAAAACTAAAAGTGATCTCAGCCTTTTAACTGACAAATATTCAACTAATAAAAGAAATGAAGTTAACTGTTCCTTCTTGCTATTCAAAATGAAATGTTCAAGATTACTTTTTTGTTTAAAACAATGATCAGCATCGTTTCTATAGCCTGTTTTATATTGAATCTACCTATTTTGGTTCATAAATCGAAATCAAATATACAATATATCGATTGATTTTTCGGATTTGATTTGATATCGACTACATTTTCTATTGATCTTCGAAGAAGATTGACATTTTATTAACGCTGCATTGAGAAGATCGATGTTTTATCAACGCTACATCGATAAAATGTCGATCTTCTTTCGAAGATCAATAGAAAATCTAGTAGGTATCAAATCAAAAGATCCTAAAAATCAATCGACTTTAAATCGACTTGTGAACCCGGGATGCTCACTTTAGGTTCAATCCATGAGGCTCGTTTTTACCGTAGATGGAGTACCCGTAAGAAAATTCTTATAAGCCTATTTTATAATAGGGTCGCAAGTCGTAAGAAACTGACCAATCACAGTTGAATATTGAAAAAAATAATCGACTATGATTGATTAATTTCTTACGGCTTACAGCTTGTGACCCTATTGAAGAACTTGTAAGAATTTTCTTACGGATACTCCATCTACGGTACAAACGAACTTCATGGATCCAACCTAAAATGAGCAGGTAGAGAATATAAACGTGAATGCAATAGAGATGTTTGCATAAATGTTATTTGCAGGTAGTCGACCGATCGATAACCTAGTTTCGATTGGAGATTCTCCGATATCGGGCAGGTAGCATCTGCGCAGGGCGAAACTCGGGTCACCGACATGAAAGCGCCGAAGGATTAAAATTACCTGCTATCCAATTTCGTTTGTTTCTCGATGAGAAGTCACCGCAAAAGCTATGAAAAAGTTTGCCATGCTTATCCCAAATCGCTCGGGGATAGACAGAATATAATAAGAAAAGGATACGTACATATAGTTCCCACGAGTTACTTATTTAACAGATGGAGCTCCGAATTTATCGAGTACTCCGAAGAGGAGTAACCCAGGTAGAACACAGAGTCACAATTTAGACAAAATGATACCACAGAAGGTCATCATTTGATACTTGAAAATTGACTTATAAGTTAGCGAATGAAGTCATGATATTCTATGTTCTACTTGGGAAAGAAGAGAAAGAAAAAAAGAACCTTTTCGGAGGGGG